CGGCGGGGGCGACGACGGAGGGTTTGGCTGCGCTGGAACGGAGGCGCTTAGCGGGGCGGACGAAGAAGTCGGCGATGGTCTTGGGGGCGGTGGGCGGCGACGGCGCCATGGGGTGGGGATTCCGGGGGACGAGCTCCGATTGGGGTTTCTGCAGGCCGTGGTCGGTAGGAGGGGAGGAAATGGGCGCGCGTGGCGAGGCGGGAATGGGGAGGAAATGGGCGCGCGACGGCGGGATTTTTTGGGCGCCGCGGTGCGGTGCTCGCCGCCGTCGTGGGCAGGGCACCGGGGTTATTGGTGGGCTCGGTTGGGCCTGGAAATAACGCCGGATGGTTTCGACAAGAATGGATGCCCAAGAGGCTTTTGCCGGGAGCTCCTATACAGCGCTGCTAGCATGGGCCGGCCCACTAGCGTGCTGCCCTAAGTTTTTTTTAAGTTTTTTTACAAAACTAAAAATATGAAATTAAGAAAGGTTTACAGATTTAAAGAAAAAAAGTACATCCATTTGAAAAAATATGTTCATATCTTTAAGAAAGGTTCATAAATTTTAAAAAAGTTCATCAATTTGGAAAAAGTCCATTAAAATTGAAAAAAAATCATCCAATTTAGCAAAAGTTCATAGAAATTGAAAAAAGTTCATGTATTTTTAGAAAAAGTTCAGGGAACTGAAAAAAAGTTGATAAATCAAAAAAAATTCGTCCATTTTCAAGACAAATGTTCATTAAATTTCGAAAGAGTTCATCAATATTAAAAAAAGTTCATCAGTCTCAAAAAGGTTCACAGAATTTTCAAAAAAAAATCATCAACCGGCGCCTAGATGGGCCGGCCCATTTACGGACGCCACAGGCGCCAGTTAGCAAAATGCACGTTAACTGGCGCCTGTGGTGCCAAATAGGAAATGCCGCTTTTGCCACTGTCTTTGTCAAATACTCCCTCCGTTCCTAAATATTTGTCTTTCTAGGCATTTCAAATTAACTACACATACGGATGTATGTAGACATATTTTAGAGTGTAGATTCACTCATTTTGCTCCGTATGTGGTCACTTGTTGAAATATCCATAAAGACAAATATTTAGGAACGGAGGGAGTAGAAACGATGGACTCCGCTTTGAGCGACCACATTTTCGTGGAGCTCTTGCCCAGCCCACAGAGCTCCGGACCGCTCCCTCAAAAAGAAGAAAAACAAAATGGCAGGTCATGCGTTGAGAGCTTTATCCAACAAAAGCATTTCTAGGGCAGTCCGTGATGAGACTGGTGATCAGGAATGAAGGTTCTCGTTCTAGCTGACTTTCGATGTGCAAGCACGCTTGACACAAAAATGGGCTGGTACGGCGTCACTGATCTAGATAAATACTGAACTACAAAAGAGTTAAAAGATGAAGCTACCTCTTCAATTTCGACTAAGATCGGTGCTACAATTGAGCGATAATTGCAGCGATTGTTTCCCACGTAGTTACACAAAAATACCGGTGACATAAATATCAGAACAAACTTATCAAAACTTTTTCTCAAATATGCACGAATGTGCATATCATATACTAAAGAAGAAAAACGTGAAGAGACCCTCCAGGTCTCCACCATAGTTACAACCTTAGGGTTACAATTGTTGTTAAATCAGAGCCACATCATCCACCTGTTAAAGGCACTAAAGAAAGAATCGAGCCCTCCTTGAAGTAGACCAGCCGCCCTCCAACAGCGGCAAATCCAGAAATTCAACATTGGGTGTTAAAAAAATCGCACCTTAATAGAGAAGCCAATTTGTTCACGGAAATGCAAATACAAAATACAAAATTCACAGTAGCAACTATATCTCAGAAGATTACGAAAATTGCAAAATAGAGAAAAAAACTACAACATGACCATGCGCTCTGTCATCTTGAGAGCGAGATATGACACACTATCATCCTTCACCTGCTACTAGTAGGACTAGAACCATTTTCATAAGCTTATAAACAAGGCTATAAGTACTATTGTTTATCTTAACAACCATAGCATAGTAATAAAAAGGTGGTATATGTTCTTGACCTTTCTAAACCTCTCATCTCTAACCACATCAGTAACGAAGTGTGTAATTTGATAAGAGATATATATCAAATCTTCCCTTGTGAGATCCATAGGATAAAGATGTGCAAGCTTAACCAAGTGTCATATATAGCTTAAAATTCAAAGATAATTCATCGACTGCTCTACTGCCTACAATTCAAAGACAATTCATTTGTTTTTTTCTGCTAATGAAATCAAGCAAATCCTCACACCTTAATGTCGTCTACAACTATACCCCTCTGAAACCAGAATAGCTGCTACACATTGAGTTGAGGAATGTGTCGAATAAACGAATCAATGCTTGCAGTTTCAGAATTGGATGGAGATTCACCTTAGGCTTAGAGATTAAGGTTATTGGAGCCAATTCCTGCACTGGTACGCTCCCCTCCCCGCCGTCGACGACCACGGTGGCCGTCGTCGCGATGCTTGTTCCCACCCTTTGTGCCACAGCATCCCATTCACGTCTCCTCCCCACCGGCGGTGGCGGACACGACACTATGGGGCTTGCATGTATCCTCCGCGGAAACCATGGGGGAATACGGCGGCTCGTGGCTCCCTCGCCTGGGCTCTCGCCATCGGCAGAGAGTCACGCCGCCGCCTCATCCATGGGAAGAAGAAAGAGGCTGGCGGTTGCGTGAGCCTCTGTCTCCTCTTGTGCGTGCGTGCATGTGGACTGTGGACAGAAGTGGTTGTTGGTTGCTAGCTTGCTGTCGGGCTAGTGGGTTGCTCATGAACTGAGCCTATTGGGCCTTTAGGATGGTATTTACTCCCTCCGTTCCTACATAGTGGAATCTCTACAGAGACTTATATTTAGGAACGGAGGGAGTACATATATACTCTTTTTTTTGCAAAAATAATTGAGTGTACATCTGTACACCCATGCCTCATGGTGGATTCGGCCTTGCCCTGCAAGTGTTTCCTTCCTGCATGATGCACCTTAGGACGGATTACAACGAAGGGGTAGCCTCACTGAAGACAACCGCATTACGGTGTTTCCACATCTCCCGTAAACCAAGGGCAACGATCGCCTTATGGATTCGGCCCTGCCCTCCAAGTGTTTTCTTCCTGCATGATGCACCTTAGGACGGATTACAGTGAAGGGGTAGCCCCATTGAAGACAGCCGCATTACGGTGTTTCCACATCTCCCGTAAACCAAGGGCAACGATCACCTTGATGTTTCTCTACAAGTATGTAGCCAAACTTCAAGGTGTTTCCCATAAACCAATTTTGTTAGAGGTCCACAACAATGATTCCTCATCACTAACCAAGAGAAGAAGTGGCACTGAAGTGGTGTCGTGTGCTTCGAGACAAAATCGGCACAGGGAGCAGTTTGCAGACAACAAACTTAGATAAGTAGGCAGATCGATCCGAAATCAGCAAAGTGATTTCTCACATCAAGTTTTAGCACCAGTGGTATATATTATATATAATTGACTCTTTTCTTTTCATATAAGCGTGGAGATGTTTGATCTAAAACAGCGATCACATGCTACTGCAAGGGGTCTATCCCAGACAAAGGTTGAGGCCCTACTAATGATCAATCACACATGATCTGGTCGCGTGCTAGATTGGCGAGCATTGAATGTACATCGATCTGCTTGTTTTGCTTAATGACTTGAAGCAGAAAAGCACTAGCAATCAACCCATACAGCAGAAAGTAGTGCACACATCGTTCCACCCCAGTACACTACACTCAATCTGCAAGCAGAGTTTCACGTGGTGAGTCTTCTGAATTTAATTCGTTCCCATGTTAGGATGAAGAATGTATAGTACTCCCTCTGTTCACTTTTATAAGACCTTAAAGACATTTCAGATAATGTATAAAACAGTCTACTTTGAGTTGTCTGAAATGACTTACAAAAGTGAACGGAGGGAGTATTATAGAAGTTAGAGCAAAGTTTGCCTCCCCTCGAGAAAGAGCAGATATATATACGGCTGCATTATGGAAGGAGAACGTTTAGGGGAACATGGAATGGTGGAAAGCCGATCAACAAGTTAATTATAACATCTTAAATACCACAACGAAAAAGAATGGGCTACATAAGCACGCTCAGATTATCTTTTTTCTCTTTGAGGGGTGCTCAGATTAGTGCAAAAAACATTGTATAGATGTCCGGGATCAGACACCGAGCACAATGAGAGCAGGCAAAAGGGCCGCCACGGCGCCGGCGGATCCGATGCCGGCTGGCGCGGCGCCGCTTGGGGGCGCGGGCGGCGCCGGCGGGGGCTCGTTCTGGCCGATGACCTTGACGACCATCTTCTGGCCGCGCTCGCAGTGGCCCGTGACGCCGCTGATGAAGTAGAAGGGGCCCGGGCGGTCCAGGCGCACCTCGGTGTCGCCGTTGTTGGAGAAGAAGATGGGGTGCGTCGACCCGCACTTGTCGTACTCCTCCTGCGTCACCTCCATCACCGAGTCCGCCTTGTACTTGAAATCTACCATCAATCCATCACACGCATCACATATTATTCACATATCAAGTGTCAACAAAGGCGTACGATCGGGCGGATCAAACGAGCGGGCCTTACGGACGCTGTCGCCGACGAGGAAGCGGTTCTTGGACGCCCAGTCGTTGTACGCGCCGGAGTCGCCGGCCGCCGGCACGACCCACCCGGCGTCCCCGCCGACCTCGAAGTCGGCGGCGCGCGACGCGCCGAAGAGCAGCGCGAGGAGCGCCACGACGGGGAGGAGGCTGTTCGCCATGGCCCGGCTAGCCGGACGACAACAACGCGGTGGCGGTGCGCGTCTTGGTTTCCTCCGGCCTGATCGATCCGAGGGCGAAACTTGGGGGTTAGTGACTGACCGCGTCCGATCGATCGGCGATGGTGTGGGAGCGAATTAATAGGGAGGGAGTGGAGTGGCGAGCCGAGCAGGAGGCGGTTGTGAGCGCCGAGGGAGGTCGAGAATGGCGGAGGCGTCGGCTACGTGGCGCATGCGCGCGGGGACGGAGTTGCGTCGCCGCGGGAGAGCTGTGGAGTGACTCGATCCACCCGTCGCTGGTTTGACCGCGCGCGCGCCTTCATTTGCGTGGCTCGTGGAGCAAATGGGCCGGCCCACTGTAGCAAGCTCACTTGTGCAGCATTCCTATTTTTCTCTCTCGCTTTGTTTGATTTTTAATTCAGCTGGCATGCTCACTTGAGCAGTTTTTTTATTTTATTTTTAATTTGTTTGTTTCGAAAAACCGGCTGTTGGATACTTTTTTACGGAGCTGGAGTAATATATACTACCTCCGTCTTAAATATAAGACGTTTTTGTAGTCCAGTATTAAATGCTTTTAGTTTTTTTAAATGTTTTAGAAATGTTCAACGCGTAGTAAGAAAAGTTCACCGATCATTAGAAAAGTTCATTGTATATTTAAAAATTTCATCATCATTAAAACAATGTTCAGTGTATATATTAAATAAATGTTCATTGTATATCAAGAAAGTTAATCTTATAGTAAAAAAAAGCTCACCATGTATTAGAAAACGTTTAAGATATATTAAAAATAGTTTAGTGCATATTAAATAAATTCATCGTGTATTACAAAAAATTTCACGATGCATGTATAAAACAAAATAGAAAACAGAAAAGGAAATAAACAAAATAAAAAAACCAAAAAGTCGTACAAGCAATGAAAAAAATCACAAAATAAAATCAGTAAATCCGATGGGACGCTAACAAATGCCAAATTGGTCCACGACCCAAGAGCGAACGCTTGCATGCATTTGCGCAAACTAGTTGACGCCTGCAAGCGTCAACTGGGAATCGCCAAGAAAATTGGCCTTCCCACAAAAGATAAATAAGAATATGGGTCATCGTGTATTTAAATTTCCTTGCAGTTTATTAGTTTCATTTGTTTGGTACGAGTTCAAGAAAAAGGTCATTGTGTTTTTTAGGGAAGGTAATCATGTTTTAGAAAGCAATATATTTGTATTTTTTAGGGTAGTGTACTCAATATAGTATAACTTGTCCTTCTTCCAGTCACCCAAGCAATGCATCTAAGAAATAAAGAGGTTCTCGCCACTCGTATGTAGCTAGTTCAGACTCCAATGGAGATGCACACTGTCTCAGTTCGCGGCGGGACGAGTAGATGATCACTCCCCTATACGTAGGACCATGCCAGCCCCTGATGTATCATCTTTCTCTAAGAATGAGCCATCAATACTCTTTACCTTTTCAGCCCCAAGCACCATATGGGCAAGCTCGTCGTATTTTTCGAGAAGATCCCCATGAGAATCGACCGACTTCATACCAATACCAAGGCCGGGAAGACATGCCCGTCCCCCCCTCCCCCCTTGTTTAACATAAGAGCGGGAATGGAGAGACGGTAGAGATTGCCGGTAGAAACTCCTGTCGGTGAGTGAGTCATTGTCGGAGTACAATAAACCCTAACGAGAGGGTACGTGTTGCTGCCATTTTATTCTACAAATATGTACTATATCTACGGCACCAATATTCCCTCCATTCACTTAATCAAAAAAAAAATCCCTCCATTCACAAATATTAGATGCTCTATTTTTTTCTTCTGAATTGGATGTATATATACACCTTTTAATGTGTTTGTTCACTTATTTCAGTTCATATGTACTAAGTAGTATATATTGAAATATTTAAAACATCTTGTACTCCCTCCGATCAATAAATCATCAAAGTGGTCCATATGGAGGGAGTACTTTGGTAGGCTTGGATAAATCACAAAAATGGTCCATTTCTTATTTGAATCCCCGGAACAGGGGAGCGAATCCCCACTTCCGTATGCTATGCAGCAGCGCGCTCCCGCCGAGCGCTCCACAGCGGCGTCCCTGCACGCGCACGTCCTCCACCTCCACCAATGCGGCGGCGCCGGCAACCTCCTCCGCCGCGCCCACGCCGCCGCCCTGACATCCGGCGCGCTCGCCGCGTCCCTGCCCCTCGCGGGCGCGCTCATCCTCTCCTACGCCGCGGTCGCCGACCTGCCCTCCTCCGGCCGCCTCCTCCTCCACCACCCGCTCCGCCTCCGCTCGGCCTTCCTCTGGAACTCGCTCTCCCGCGCGCTCTCCTCGGCCTCCCTCCCCGCCGACGCCCTGCGCGTCTACAACCTCATGCTCCGCTCCGCCGTCAGCCCGGACGACCGCACCTTCCCCTTCGCCCTCCACGCCGCCGCGGCCGCCGCCGGCGCGCACGCGGACAAGGGCCTAGAGCTCCACGCCGCCGCGCTCCGGAGCGGCCACCTCGCCGATGTCTTCGCGGGCAACACGCTCGTCTCTTTCTACGCCGCCTGTGGCTCCGCCCGTGATGCGCGCAGGGCGTTCGATGAAATGCCCGCCCGGGACGTCGTCTCCTGGAACTCCCTCGTCTCGGCGTTCTTGGCCAACAGGATGTTCGATGATGCGAGGCGGGCGTTGGTCAGTATGATGGGGAGCGGGGTCCCTGTGAGTGTGGCGAGCTTGGTCTCGGTCGTGCCTGCTTGTGGCGTGGAGCAGGAGCAGGGGTTTGGGTTGGCTCTACATGGACTCGCGCTGAAAGCCGGGCTGGACTCCGTGGTCAATCTTGGAAATGCACTGGTTGATATGTACGGGAAGTTTTGTCAAGTGGAGGCATCGATGCAGGTGTTTGAAGTAATGCCAGAGAGAAATGAGGTTTCTTGGAATTCTGCCATAGGTTGTTTTCTTAATTCAGGGCTTTATGGAGATGTGCTGGCCATGTTTAGGGAAATGTCAGAGCGCGGAGTCATGCCAGGGTCTATCACGTTATCGAGTTTGCTACCTGCTTTGGTTGAGCTTGGTTATTTTGATCTGGGCAGGGAGGTACATGGGTATAGTATAAAGAGAGCAATGGACTCAGATATTTTCGTTGCCAATTCACTTGTGGATATGTATGCCAAACTCGGTTCTCTGGAGAAAGCCTGCACTGTCTTTGAAAAGATTGAGGTACCCAATGTGGTGTCATGGAATGCAATGATCGCTAATCTTGTGCAAAATGGAGCTGAGACTGAGGCATTCCGTCTTGTTATCAAGATGCAAAAGGATGGGGAACGGCCAAATTCAATAACCCTGGTGAATGTACTTCCAGCTTGTTCAAGGATGTCCTCTCTAAAGATAGGGAAACAGATCCATGCATGGTCGATCCGTACAGGATTAGTATTTGACTTATTCATATCGAATGCTTTGATTGATATGTACGCGAAGTGCGGGCAGCTGAGTTTGGCGCAAAATATTTTTGACTTGTCAGAGAAGGATGATGTGTCATACAACGCTTTGCTTCTGGGTTATTCTCAGAGTCCATGGAGTTTTGAATCTCTTAATCTATTTAAGGAGATAAGGTCTGCGGGAATTGAGTATGATGCTATTTCTTTCATGGGTGCCTTGACTGCATGTACCAATTTATGTGCATTTAAACAAGGGAAAGAAATTCATGGTGTTTTAGTAAGGAGATTACAAAGTAATCATCCCTTTCTGGCTAATTCACTGCTAGGTTTGTATACTAAAGGTGGAATGCTTGACACTGCAACAAAGATCTTCAATAGGATTACAGAGAAGGATGTTGCTTCATGGAATACCATGATCATGGGATACGGAATGCACGGCCAAATTGATGTTGCTTTCCATTTGTTTGATCTGATGAAGGATGATGGTGTTGACTATGATCATGTGTCTTACATCGCAGTGCTGTCGGCATGCAGCCACGGTGGGCTTGTTGAGAAAGGAAAAGAGTACTTCAGTCAAATGCGTGCCCAAAATTTAGAGCCACAACAAATGCATTATGCTTGCATGGTTGATCTTCTTGGGCGTACTGGACAACTGACTGAATCTGTTGAACTAATCCAAGACATGCCTTTTCATGCCAATTCCGATGTGTGGGGAGCACTGCTTGGGGCTTGCCGAATACATGGAAACATTGAAGTAGCGCAATATGCAGCGGAACATTTGTTTGAGTTGAAGCCAGAGCATTCGGGTTACTATACACTGCTGATAAACATGTACGCTGAGGCTGGTAGGTGGAATGAAGCAAACAAGATCAGGAAATTAATGAAATCCAGGAAGGTACAGAAAAATCCAGCCTATAGCTGGGTACAGAGTGGCAACAAGCTACAAGCTTTTCTTGTGGGGAATGGTTAGCTCTGCTGCGATAAGTTTAAATCGACCGGCAATGTAACAGATGGTGCACTTATATGGTGGTACGAAGTCTTCCACTAGGAATGAATTGTATATATAGCACTATAATATTGCATGTTCACCAAATCTGATAAGTATTGTCACTGTAATAGTGAAGGAATGCGATGAGGAGTGCAATGACTTTTAGAAGACCGTAGTTGTCGATGGCTGCACTGTATGACCTGACAAGAATCACATAAAGATGAGCAATATTAATTGGCACTACCACAGTCTACATATATTTGCTAATGGAATTTAGCCTAGTGATGGGACAGAAGGTAATCATTCTTAGACTACTTGTCTCTCTACATAAATAACTTTGAGCATTTCTGAAGTTCTGTCCAGCTGTTTGTGTCCATACAGTCATTGGCATACCAATGTATTCTCTGCATAGTGACGTACCTTTTGCCAGTTTCCCAACTTTGAATACTAAATGCGATGGGGATAAGCAAGAAAATAATCCTGATGTGCTAATAGAACAGATGAGGTAGAGGCTGAGATAATCCTGATAAGCAAGAAGATAATAATGATGTGCTAATCCTCAACTCTGGTTATTGTAAATGCTTCATTGAAAGTAGATTTGGGGAACTTACTATACTAAATAAGTAATTTTAACTACCGATCATATTTACTGAACTATTGAAATGCTGCACTAAAGTTGCTGAAATTTCATATTGGGTTATTCGATCTTGAGCTAAATGATTTCGAGTCTCAGTTAAGATTGCTTCAAATATTGAGATTTTTAATATTTTAGAGATATATAATATTTTTTTAATATCTCAATTGCTCATTAGATTGTTTCTTGTGTGTGTGACTGAAGCATCAAATGGAAAAAGCTTTTCAAAACTGATATTATTGTTAAAATATTTGAGATCTGTCTCACAAGAAATGATGAATGGTCATGTTACTATATGCATTGAATAGGAAATGTTGGGACTTATTCGTCTGCAGATGATGAGCATGATTCTGCCTTTGTTGTCTTGGGAGTCAAGCATGTGTTTTTCACTAAATGTTTGTCATATGTTATTGTCAGCAGCTAGTAGTTTTTCATTATATTTCTAAAAATCTGGACGCCACCTATTTGAGTGACCGTTGAATGATTCCTTTGCGATTGAAATAAAGATATTAAGTGCTTATATACTTGTGTGAGAAGCCTTTCTTTATTAAACTTTGCATGAGTTTGAGATATGCCAGGATCAGCCATGCGTCTCTTTCACTGCCGTCTAATATGATGCATAAAATGAGTTGTAGTACATTACTTGGTGCACAAAAATGAGCTTTACTAAGCGTCCAATTATTGTATGAATGTGCTAGAAACCTTCTAAAGTTGTGCTGATAACTTTATTCTATGTGGTAGATAGAACTGATTATTTCTCTTCAGAGGAAATGGCACTCAAACTCCCGGCATACATGGTCATCAGGTTTATAAAGACATGGGTTTAACCAACACTCACTCACATGTATTTTTAGTTTACTCCGGTTGTAGCTTTGGTCCGAACGTGTTGAAGATGTTGCCGATCACACAGCTTCCACCCACTGATAGCCACGAGGAAGGCAAGAAATTATCATGGAACAACGCAAAGAGTGACAGCCTGACAGATTCTGCAAACTCACTAGTCCGCCTCTAGCCAGACAGACCAGAGAGTCATCTTTGTCTTGTTTCTGTTAATTTCCAGATATTGCCAAGGAGATGGTATATCCATGTGAATTCCTTTTGTAAAGTGGGAATGGAAGAGTGGAGTTCCATTCGATAGGGATCTATACAGGATAAATACTCCAGAGTCCACACTCGAGCAATTCTTCTCATTGCAAGGAGGCCGTTGCTATGATCAAAAGTAGAGAGGAGAACAAGTCAAAGTATGCTTTTATTACCAGAGAGATCAATATCAGTTTGGGGATGCGATTCTTGCATTACTCGTATTCGGAGCAGAAATAGGGCTAGTCATTCCATTGCATTGCAATTTTGGTAGGTTGCATGGCCGAACAGCTGTCTGGCTATGCTCTGGCCCAGATGATGTCCTGGAAATTGTTGGATGGGATTGTAACACTTAATTTTCATCTAGATACCACGTGTACCGTACAAACCATTTTTAAGCTGTGAAATGTGGCAAATTAATTATATTATTATTTCCTATTCTATCTCAAAACTGATAATGTATAGTTGTGATGCAGCATATAGCTCTTCATATCCCACCGTGGTAGTCCCGAATTTGTCGTCATACAAAGAAGCAATCCTGAATAGTTTTTCTTTTTCTTTTTGAGGGAAGCCAAGTCTTTATTGCTCAAAGATCACAGTTTGAAATACAAAAAGAATCGTAGGGTTGTCCGAGCCAAACATGGCAGCCCCGATCTAAAGATTGAGAGTACTTGGCTAACGAATGAGCTTTGAAATTAGATCTAAAGATTGAGAGTACTTGGCTAACGAATGAGCTTTAAAATTAGAAGCTCGACCTTCAAAAATAGAGTAGAGATTTAGTTCGCTTATAATCTGACCATAGCTTCCATTGCAACCCTTTCGTCATACAAAGAAGCAACCCCGAATAGGCTAGCATATATCTTGATCAGAACCAGGCCGTCCCTGTTAATCTTGCACCGAGGTGGCCGCCGCCGTCGTGCGCGCCATGACCGCCGGGAGGCTCGTGATGTGGCGCAGCAGAAACGCCATCTCCTCGTCGTCGTCCTCCTCCTCCATGAAGTCGCCGCCGTTGCTTCCGCTGCTGCTGTTGCTCCTACCGTAGTGCACGACCGGCTCGTCCTCTCCGAGAAACTCGAGAAAGTTGGCCAGGACGTCCCCCTCCAGCCACTTGACGCCGGGAAGGGGCGCGGCCTCCTCCGCCTCCTCGAGGAACTGCAGGTACTCGGCCAGGACGCCCCCCTCCAGCCAGGCCACCGGGAGCGGCGACGGCACGCCGACGATCTGGACGTACTCCAGGGTCGCCATGTCGCCGGCCGGCTGGCTCTCCTCGCTGGCTGCTCCTCGTCTCCCGTATGCAGACGGAGGAGAAGCTAGGTGTTTGAGCGTGCGTAGAGAATACAGAATTAAGGAGAGGAATCGAGTCCCGTTGAGATTACATAGAGCGGCCGAAACGCGACTTCCTCCGAGTCCGACACCAGCTCGGCACCAAAATGCAGTCTGGGTTTCTATTCCTAGTCGGACTCGAATTGAAATCGAACGATCAAGATTTTCCTAGTCATTAACAAGCTAGGTCGGTCGCCCTGCCGTGTCGTCCAAGCCGCGCATCTCCGCGTACGTGCCTATATATACAAATTGTTTGTGTCGTGCTCGATTTCGTTCGTCGGCTTCATCGGAGCAACCGAGGTCGCCGCCCACGTCCCCGTCGCGTCGGAGGCCTTGCTCGTCATGGAGACCCGTGAGGATTGCAAGCCCGACGAGGCCAGTTTCCTCGTCGAAGCTCACGCCCATGCCCCGCCGGGTCGTCATCCCCAGCGGCTACAGCATCTCCAGCGTGTATCAACACCTCTTGCAGTGCAGGATTGAACCTGCCATAACATAACATTCCTACTTTCCTAGTTGCACTGCATCAATGTTACTTATCGGTTTCCTCTTTGTAGCAGTAATATTGCTTAGCCGTTCTTTATTGATGGAGCGTATGGGGGAATCATGGCTTCCCCTTTCGACGCCTATAGGTGGTCTCCAGGTTATTACTAGAAGGAAATTTTGTTAAGTAACAAATGATAACTAGTGTTATTTTCATGAAGAATAGCTTAAGAAAAATTTGCAAGTCCATGTGACATATTTATTTTTCTGAATTTCAAACCAACTAAGACATTTAGCATCAGTATATTGAAAGATGTTTTTTATCTGCTTAGAATAGCTAAATAAGCTATCAAGCCAGCTCAGAGCCCCAAAGAACAATTGTTCTGCGGCCCAGGGCTTCAAAAAGAAGTGTGGATGGTGCCTACTTATCGACATGGCACACTTAGCAAATTCAGCATGGAAGCATTTTCCAAACAGTGGTCAGCACCAAAGTTTCGCTGGATTCAGGTGACCACAGCCCCAGCATTGTCGTTTCCCCCTTTTTTTGTCGTTCATATTTTATCTCCCAGTGTCAGCCACCAATGAAATTCCATCCATTTGCTCCCCTGTTTTGAGTAAAGTCAGGTCTTCATTTTTCTGTTCAGATTCCATGCACCCACGGTTTTCTTTGTCTGAATCTTGCAATTCTGGTTTTCGGAGCTGACCGGGCCATTCTTCGGGGCCAAGTTGCCACCTTGCTGGCATTCCAAGCCAGCTTAGCTAAATAAAAAATGGTATGGTCTTTCGTGACACAACAGATTCCTGTGCCACTTTTTGGTACTTTGGAACACACAGAGAAGATATCTGATTATTTAGAGTAAATAGCATAAAACTACTACTTTACAGGTTAAGGTTTTAAAAAACTATTGATTTTTAATTTTTCGCTGATAACTACCAAGTTGGGGGTTGGTTGTTTCAAAAAACCCTAATAACTTGTTGCTAGCGTTTAAACCGTTTTATGACAGGTCGGACCCACTCCTAAACAATCCGTTTGTTTGACCGTTAACTTACATGTGGGACACCATGTAAGTTCTCTCTTCTTCCTCTTATCTTTTGTTCTCTTCCTTCTCCTCCTGACCAAGGCACAAGCTCCACCACCCGATGCACGCAAACCAGGGCCGACCGCTAAAAGGAGTGCCACGCGGAGGACCAGCCGCCACCCAGCAGCACGGGCCGCCACCAGCCGCTCGCCATGGCCAGGGGATAGGGACTCAGCCCGCCGCGTCCAGGGGCATGGGCTGCCGCCATCCTTGCGCCATAGCCAGGGCCGCCGCCAGCCGAGCTCCATGGCCACGGGCTCAGGTCGTCGCGCCCAGGAAAGGGAAAGAGAGAGAGAGGTCGTGCAGCGGAGGAGCTCGCCGGCAGGAGGAGGCCGCGGCCGCCACACGCGCTGGAAGGGAGCTCCGCAACAGCGCGCATCGGATGA